GCCGAGCCGTGGTGGTAACTTCTGCCCTTCCCTCCTTCCCTCCCCAGCTGTCCCGTTTCCCCCCACGCAGCGGCTCACTCTGAAGGAGGTGTTTGAGGATGGGAAGCCCCGGCTCGACGTCCTCAAGAGCCACTTGGTGAAGGAAGGGCGCCTGGAAGAGGACGCGGACGGCGCCGCCATCCTCAGGCACGAGAAGACGATGATTGAAGTGGAGGCTCCCATCACAGGTCAGAGCTTTCTGCAGTCCAGGGCTAAATGAAGGCCTTCAAGGAAAGAGGAGCTGCTCGCGGGAGCAGGTTCTCTGCTGCGTCCCTTCCACCAGCGAGGCTTTGGAGCTTGCCCGGGCGCTCCCAGGAGGGGTTTGCTGGTGCAGATGGAGTACGTCTGTGCAGAAGCAGGGCTGGCTTGGGTCAGAGCTCAGCTCCGCGTTGCTGTCACCACCTTTCTTTTCTTAGCATGTAATTGTGTCCCTCTTTTGTGCTGTTCTTCCCCCTGCAGTGTGCGGTGACATTCACGGGCAGTTCTTTGACCTGATGAAGCTGTTCGAAGTTGGAGGATCACCCAGCAACACCCGCTACCTCTTCCTGGGGGACTACGTGGACAGAGGCTACTTCAGTATAGAGGTGACACAGCTGAGCCTGGGGGTGCTCGTACTAGACTAACCAGGGGGCTGGAACTGGATGAGCTTTAAGGTCCCTTCCAACCCATTCCATGATTCTGTGTCAGGACCGAGATTGGCTCCTCACCCGTGACAGAGTTACCTGGCAGTGGTGGGGTTAATGACTCAACTCTGGCTTCCAAACTCGAGCTTTAATGTCACTTGTAGCTGTCAGTCAGGGAGGCAAGAGGCAGAGTTGATTGTATGTTGCAGGCAGTGGGATCCTACAGGCAGTGGGAAGCAAAGGCTGAAAACTTGCAGGATTCAGCTTAGCAGGGAGGGGAAAGCATGAGAGCTCTGAGTCACTGCTCCCACCAACCCCCGAGAGCAGCGGCCTTGTGGGGCCAGAGCTGGGTCAGGAGAAAGGGCAGGAAATGCCCTGGGCCGTTGGACCCACCAGGGTGGTGCTGAGGCATGAGCTGTGAATCTGGCCACGCCGTGCCCGTGTGCCAGCCCCCTGTCACCATACCCGCACCAGCCAGCAGTGGTGGCCTCTCGGGGTTCCTCAGCTCTCTGGGATGCACCAGCCACGTACTGGGAAGCACTGGGAGGTGGTGGCCTCAAAGGGCAGAGGAGTTGATGGGTCCCCCCCGGCTGCTGCTGGCTCTGCAGGTCTGTGAGGGACAGAGCTGTCAGCAGCTGCTGCACACCCAGGGCACAGGCAGCGCCCGGAGGAAGAGGAGCTCTGAGCAGCGTAACGGGGGCAGTTAAGGTGGGAAAAGTGGCCTGGAATAACAGAGGAAGTGGTTTCTCTGGGAAGAGGAGGGTGCATGCTCCAGCGCAGGAACAGCCGAGCTATGGGGTCTGAGAGAAACCTTTCTCAGTGGGGCTCTGGGGAGGAACTCATGGATGAAGGTGGTTGAATCAAGTGCTTCTCTGAGGGGTTCTGCAGAGGATACAGGGGAGGGTGCTGCTGGCAGCTTGTGCTTTGGCAGCATCCTGACTGGCTTCCCTGGGAAGAGGAGGGTGCATGCTCCAGCGCAGGAACAGCCGAGCTATGGGGTCTGAGAGAAACCTTTCTCAGTGGGGCTCTGGGGAGGAACTCATGGATGAAGGTGGTTGAATCAAGTGCTTCTCTGAGGGGTTCTGCAGAGGATACAGGGGAGGGTGCTGCTGGCAGCTTGTGCTTTGGCAGCATCCTGACTGGCTTCCTGCACCACATGGGGTGCTGCGGGGCCGGGTGCAGGAAGGGGATTGTGCTGCTGGGGCTCTGGTGGCCCCCTAAGCCCTGGGGAGGAAGGGGAAGAACATCTGGCTGCTGCTCTGAATGGATTGGCTTTTGCAGGTCCAGTGCGTGTAGCTCTGCCTGGGACCACGTGTACGCGTTGTCCAGTGTTAACAGAGAAACCTTCAAACAAGACTTGCTGGAGCCTGTGTCTACACCTCAGCGGGTGGTGAAGAGCTTCTCCCACTCTCTGCCCTTACCCTGCAGTCAATGCTGTGTCCAGCTCTGGGGCAGCAACGCAGGAGGGACATGGAGCTCTTGAGCAACCTGCTCTAGTGGAAGGTGTCTCTGCCCATGGCAGCGGTGGGACCGGCGTGAGCTCTAAGGTCCCTTCTACCCAGACCAGGCTGGGATTTCACCCCCAGATCTGCGGGAGCGAGTGCCTGGGTGGGAAGGGGTGTTTTTGTAAGGAGGAAGGTCAGAAAATCATAGGTGAAGCTCCTGTTGTGGCTGAGCCTGACCCAGAGCCTGTGCCAGCAGCCTGGTGGCTTCAGAGCCTTGGGGCCATTGGTGTCCATCAGCTCTGAGCACAAAGCTCTTACTTCTTGCTCTTGACTCTTCTCCTTCCCCTTTCCCCACGTGCGGAGGGAAAAGCCATTGATCCTTCAGGAGTCGTGTGTGCGGGGGCTGCTCCAGCTGTCACTGGTGAAGCAGAACCTCCAGGGCTTCATTCTCCTCTTCTATTGACGTGTGCCTCTTCTTCCCACCTACTGCAACGTGCAGCGTGTACTGGGAGCTGTTCCCACCTGCATGTGCAGAAGCTGGTTCCCAGAGTGAGGCAACAGCTTTGCTGCTGGCGTTGGATCGCTGCAAGGAGAGAGCGAATGGTGTTTACGGGTGAATTTGCTTTATATAGGAAGGTATTTGGAGACCTCTGTAAAATGCAGAGCTGCAGCAGCCCCTGAGGTGCAGAGGTGCCTCATCTGGGAATTTTGACTGCTGTATCCCAGAGGCTCCGGTGATGGAAATGCATCCAGGTTTCCCTGTGCTTCCCTGGGAAGGTGCAGAGCACCAGCATGATCAGGCTTTCATGAATCATCACAGAATCCCAGCCTGGTTTGTGTTGAAGGGACCTTAAAGCTCCTCCAGTCCCAACCCCTGCCCCGGGCAGGGACACCTTCCACTAGAGCAGGTTGCTCCAAGCCCCTGTGTCCAACCTGGCCTTGAACACTGCCAGGGATGGGGCAGCCACAACTTCTCTGGGCACCCTGTGCCAGCGCCTCAGCACCCTCACAGGGAAGAGCTTCTGCCCAAGAGCTCATCTCAATCTCCCCTCTGGCAGGTTAAATCAGTGCACACACTTGTGCATCTGTGTGCTGGGGTTATTATGGACTGCCTGCCCAGAGCAGCTGATAATCATGACCTTTTAACTAAATGAAATAGGAGGTAATTGTATAATTGCATCCTGATGCAGGCAATCAGGAAACGAGATGCAGAACTGGGGACCAAGGAGGTGTTGAGGCAAACGGTGTCGCTTGTTGCAGCCCTGAGGCTCCTTTCACTCCTATTTGGAAGTTGGAACTGGATGATCTTTAAGGTCCTTTCCAACCCAACCCATTCTGTGACTTCAGTTTCACACACTTGGAATGTGTTTTTACATCTCTCTTCTGTAAGCTGCTGCCCTTCTATGACTCTCTACATCCCAAATCCTCCTCTGGATTGATCTCTCCTCTCTTGCTTTGCTTTGAACCAGGGCTGACTGCTTCCTCCAGGCCTTAGCAAGTCGTTTGGTTCACTTGTAGTGACTTCCCCTTTGCAGTTCTCATGCTGGCCCAGGAACAGGACATTCAGGTTGCAAACACAGGAGGCTAAAGCTTTTAAATCACAGAATCATTACAAATAGGTTTGTTGGGAACATTTCTCCTGTTAATAGATGCAATAAAACATTGTTTTAACCACAGCTTAAGTTAGGTGCCCCTGGCCCTGCATTGTTCTGGTTTGGAATTCAGGGTTTGCATTCCAGTCTCTCTCAGTAGGGTTCAGTTCTGAGTTAGGCACAGGCGGGTGCTTTACAGCTCCTTGGGGATTTAGGGATCCCTGCGTGTAGCTGGAGTGACTAATGCAGAGCTTACCTTGCAGGTTCAGTGCTTAAGCATCGTATTTAAGGTCTCTGTACTAGAAACTTACCTTGACAGTGGTTTCCTTTGGTTCTGGAGGCTGTTTCCATGCCCCAGCAGCTGGTTCCAGGAGATCTGTGCATCAGATCAGCGGTGGTTTTCAGTGTCAGGCTGTTGACAGACTTCATGGCTCACATTCTCCAATGTACTGCTTCTGTAGCATGTCAGCCTACAGGGTAAGCTCTTATTAGAGACTTTAATCCAGATCTTCGAGCTTGCTGTCATTATGGGTTGTCCTTCCAGCACTCAGAGTCAACAAGGGAGATGTGATAACGTTTCCTGGTGCTAGATACCAGCTGATGTAGCTGTCAGCTTGACAAAGTTTAGCACAGAAGGGTGAGCACACGTGTTTTCCAGCCCTTCCCTTCTATTCTGGAAAGCCACCGCAGCATATTCCTGGGACTCTGATGAAAATGCTTGTTTCAGTTTGACTTTGGGCTGTGCCTCATCAGAGCTGATCTTCTTACAGGTGCCCTGCTCAGACAGGGGATGTGGGAAGCCCTCTTCAAGGCTTTGCTGGGCTTTTCCTGTTTTGCACTTGAATTTCACATGACTGGAGCGTGAGCAGGAAAACGAGGGGGGGGGGTCAGTGGGGAGGATCAGGTTTAATTTCCCTGGTGTTTCATGCACTTGCTGACATGAGCGAGGAGCCGTTTCCTGCTGCGCTCAGTGTCCCTGCTCCGCACTGCAGCGGAACATCTGGATCCCACGTCCCACTGCACAGCTGGCTCGGCTTTGCTGCTCCGCACATGGCTGCTTTTTGCTGTGGTTTCTGCTGGGAGGAGAAGCTGCCCCCACCCAGCCCAGAGCTGGTTTCAGTTGAACTCGATCTCATTTGTCACTTCTCCAGCTCAGGCCTAATATAGAGAAGTGCTCGGTGTGGCTTTCCCCCACCGTGGGGTTGGCCAAGGGAAGATCTGCTGCCGATTATGGAGCTGGGTTTCTCTCAGGGTTCTACTTTGAATTCAGCTTGTTGGGTGTCTTCCCAGAAACACTTAGGGAAGTCTACAGCTGGTGAGTGCCCTATAAAAGGGTTTTATGACATGCCATCTCCTTCTTGCCTTCCTTGCAGTGCGTGCTATATTTATGGAGTTTAAAGATAAATCACCCCAAAACGTTGTTCCTCCTTCGAGGGAACCATGAGTGCAGGCACCTCACAGAATACTTCACCTTTAAGCA